AAATTGGCTTTATTTTGAAAATATTTTTAAAAGTTTAACCTCCTTAAAGATCTCTTTTTAATTTAATCAGTTACTTTGATGATATGGATGTCAAACGAAACAGGTTGAAAAAACTTTATTAAAAGAACAGTTTTAAAAAATCAAATTGCAGTTAAAATTTGCAAAATGGAATATCTTTCGTTTTTACAGCGAAGATAAATGAAATATACCAATGACATATTGAAATGAAATAAAGAGTGTAGGTTTTTTTTTATGCAAACAAGCTTCGTCAAGAATCTTAACCAGAAAATAGTATCTGCATTGATGGAGGTCGGTGCTACTTTGGTGTATGACTAAATACGACTCTGTCTTTTGTTTGTGTTGAACGAGGTTTAAGAAGGCTTACAACCGAAAATATTTTTGTGGAAAGTTGCCATATTTTTGAAAATTTTAATTTAATTTAATTGATAAAATAAATTAAATATTGCAATATGGGTATCAAATTAAAGTAGTTTCGGAAAGTTTACTGCCGAAAATATTTTTGAGGAGGGTTGCCACCTGTTTGGAAAATTTTATGAAATTATAAATTGATAAAATAAATGAAATATTACAATGCGGGTATTAAACAGCACAAAACTACCAAAAGTACTTTTAAGGCACAGTAAAGCACGCCGGGTATTTGCTAGTTTTGAATATGAATGAGGAAAATATTTCAATTTAGTTATATGCAACTCTGCCACTTAAAATTTCATAGAAACTATTTATCCTGCTCAAGAAAAACTGCTGAGTACGACTGTCTCAACTACAGGATGTCCGATTTACTTGTGCAAGATTTCAGTGTAGATGCTAATGCGATACTTGCCCAATGATGAAATTTTCTATGAATCGGCTGGAATGTTTTTCACGACCCGTCTCAAGCTTCGGTTTGTTGACACTCACCATATTTAATGAACCAATTAAATATGGACTTTTCGTTGATTTTGTTCGGCTGTAAGAACCCTAACCTAAGCTAACATTTCTTAACCTAACCTAACATTACCTGTATTATCAGCATTTTATGCTTGCTTCTTTTGAAAATTTGTTCACTCAAAGCAAGTGTGCTTCAAAACAAAAGAAGAAGTTAAACGAAAAATCCATGCCAGCAAAATTTTAAAAAAGCCATTAGTGTCACAAAAACTTACCATCTAAATACATATTATAACAATTTAAAGGTTCTATATCCTCATTTAATATGCCACCAAAAAAAATAAAATTCTTTCAAAAAATGTCAAAGTTTGTTAACAAATTTAATCGACACAAACAAAAAGGAGCTGCGACAGACACTTTGCATAGAAAAAGCATAAAAAAGTTAGATGACGAAGAAGAAGAAGAAAGAGACTAAAATAAATATTAGCTTAGTCAACATGATGGTGGTGGCGCGATAAAAGTGCTGTTGAGAATAAAAATACGAATAAAAAAAATTTCTTGAAATCTTTTGTCACCGCCGAAACTTAGAATTTTTCACGATTTTCTTTAATTTCAATGCATTAAAATATTTTCACTTTTCATTTATTTAAAAAGCCACTGGGAAACAATGTCGTCTAGCTCTGCATTGTTCCTGAGTTGCGCTTTTTAGGTTTCATTTACACAAAAATAGGAAAAACAGCGCGCTACTATCGAATGATAGCGTCATTTTAGCTGTGGGCCAGCTGTCGCCATCGCCAACGCCTCCTCCAACACAACGGCTAACTGAGTTGCCGCCTACTTGCTGTTGCTGAGGCTAGAGGATGGTGCCCACCCCCTACCCGAATGTCGTGTAAAACTCACACACAAACACACCACTGTATACTTGTATTTCTTTACCTACTTAGCGCCGTGGGATGACTCCTAACTGGCTCCTTAGCTGGTTGAGTGGTTCGCGTACTTGGCGTTGCGCTGTCCCGATGGACCGACCACCTTCAACGCTCCGACTTGGAGGCCTTCATTTGGTGGAAAACAAATGCTAAGCTGCTATCTGCCTGCAGGCGATGCAAACTTTTAAATTTTTTTTTTGTATTCAGTGTTTTCTCGCATTTCCTTCGTTTTCTTTGGCATTCCGAGAGAGTTTATCTTTTGAACAGTGACGCCTTTTGCGCGGTGAATCTGTTTCATTTCGAATTTCATGTCAACCCATTTTTCCTATTCTGTTTATTTTATTTTGTTTTTTTTTCACCCTCCTTTGAAATTCACTTTCAATTTGCTTTTTGCTGCCGCAACTATTCCGGCAATTTGTTGACTGTTGCTGCCAAATTTCGGCTTGTCGTATTTCCGGTGCCGCTTTTTCTTTCATTTGCTACCCTTTTATTTATTTAAGGAAAAAACTTTGCTTACGCTTTGATTTTCTATTTACTTAGGTACCTTCTACTACTTATGTATGTTTGTATGTATGTTTGTTAACCGCCTTTTCGTCTCCATTGGCTAAACTTTCGCTTTAGCTACCTGCAGTCGCTGTGGATTACAGCTTTAAGTCGAAATTTGCTTTGCACATTTCCCAGCTGCTGTGGGGCGTTGAGTACCTACTCCCGCCTCACGCCCATTTTGCAGACGCGTCAGCAGCTATTCGCTTGCTTTTACAACTTAATTTAAAAATCTGCGCAAAAGTTCAAAGTGTTGTGCGACACTTAATTTTGAAAGTTTGCCGTTCGTTTGGTTTTTGTTAAGTTCAGCTATTTGCCGCTGTTTAGCTGTCGAGCGACAACATTTTTTAAGTAGAAAACTTTTTGAAGCTGTGCAATTTTTGCAGGGACGGCGTTAGTGGAAGTGAAAGAGTTAAAATACCTGCTTCTGTTGTTGCCTGTTTTCGATACTTAGTAATCAGTTAGTAAGTGGTTTTTAACTCGTTCTGTTTGGCTAAGTTAAAAATTTTTTAAAAATTAAATCGGGAAAAAATTTCATTTATGCAAAAAATGTTTAATAATTTCAGACATGGTTGCCACATTGTTTTGCCACACTTTTTTTTTGTTACAGATTTAAAGTATGATATTAATTTAACATCCTTCTACTTGAAATATTTAAACGTGTATTGAAAACAAATGTTGGCCGTTTTAAAATATCCGTGCATAGAGTTGCCACCTAATTTTAAACAAACAATTTTTTATTTACTTTTTCTTAACTTAAATACATCCCACTTACTACTTAAAACATTTTGGCTCGAATTGAAAATAATATTCAATATTAGGGTTGCCACATATATTTTTTAACAAAGTATAATAAATTATTTTATAAATCTCTATTAAATACAATGTGTAAATGATTGTTTATTTTATCTTTTTCCATATTTTGATTGTAATCAAGTAGGGTTACCACATAATTTTTTATATAAACAATAGTATAGAAAGTATCTCGTAAATCTCAGTGAAATACATCTTGGGATGAAAAACACAATTTTCCCCCTTTTTGACGTAAATATTTTTGGGTGGGGTTACCATATAACTTTAAAAGAAATTATTTGAATATATTTTTTTAAGAAAACTTAACATCCTTATATGATCAAGCAAATCATAACTTCAAATTTCACTACCCTTCGTAATTGAAATTTTTTTTTAACTAAGGTTGCCAAAAAATTCAGAATTTAATATTTTTAAATATATTTTAATATAATATTAAAAGCTCAACCCATTTATATTATTACAATAATATTTTTTACTTTAAAATACATATTTTTGGTTAGAGTTGCCACATATTTTTTGGGAAAAATATTACAGTTAGTATACCAAATATGGGTTAAATAAAATTTTGCCATGCTTTGCATGTAAGTCCTACTTCAACTTCTCTCGTTTGAGAACCATACTAAAATAATTATATTAACTTGTTATTTAAATTGATTCTGAGTTTCTAAGCAGGTGGCAATCTTCTTAAAATATATAAATACATAAAAACGGTCTGCATAAACTCGTTTCGATTAATGCAATATAGATACTAAAAAAGGTTTCTATTAACTAACTAATTAAACTTGTAATCACTTTTTGAGCAGGTAGCAAGCCTCTTAAAATAATATTTTAGAAAAAAAAACTTACTTAAACCTCTCTCAATTTGAATATCATTTTAATATATTTTATTTATTTTACTAATTAAACTGATTTTGAATTTCTTTAAAGATAGCAACCTCGTCAAAAATATTTTCGGACTAAAGCTTTCTTAAAAATCTATTGTTTGATAGCCATATAAAGATAGTTCTTTGAACTTGGCAATTAAATTTATTTCCAATTTCCGCACAAGTGGCAATCCTCTTCAAAAATATTTTCGAAATAAAACTTTCTTTAACTTCTTTGTTTAAAAGCCATATTTACTTTTTGAATAGGTGGCAGCCCTCTTTAAACGTATTTTCGAAATAAAACTTTCCTAACCCCTTCTCGTTTAAAGCTTTATTAAAATATTTACTTTAACTTCTTAATTGAATTACCTTATACTTTTTGAATAGGTGGCAACCCTCTTCAAAATTATTTTCGAATTAAAGCTTATATTAAAATGTATTTGACTTAGCTTTTTAATTTAATTGACTTAAACTTTTTGAATAGGTGGCAACCCTCTTCACAAATATTTTCAAAATAAACCGCTTTTGAGCTCCTATCGTTGGACACCGACAGTATTGTTATATTTTATTTAACTGATAAATTAATATTGGCCGTAGTTATCGCTAAAATAAGGTCGACTCTTAAGATAATTTTAGCTTTTTGAAATAATTTTAAATGTGATATCTGATCTGATCCAGAAAAGCTACAACTAAGTTACGAGTCGACTTTATTTTCACTATTAAAAAGAGCTAGGTTTTTTTTTAAAGATTTGTTTATATTTAGCCTTTTAAAGGGTCCCTTATTTCCCGATAAAAAAACCTACATGCCATTAAATTAAATAAAAGTATATCTAAAGTTTATGCCCACTTTAATTTAAAATACCGCAATGTATATTTATCATTAATATTTATTAAGTAATTTTACATATTTCATTTAAATAAATATTCAAACCGCATACTAATTTAATATTTTTTCCACTCTCTTTTACAGTCGTTAAACAAACGCCAATAGTGTGGTAAGTAACCGAAAAAAAAAAACGTTTTAACATCACATGCGAACGTCAAATGTTATTATTTATTTTAGTATTTAAATAAACAGCAAATAAGCTAACTACTTGAATGTCTAATTTGCACATTTGTTTTTGCGAGTTTCATGTGCAAGAATTAGCTATTACTAATTAGAAAGTAGTGTAGTAGGTGCCAGACAGTGAGCGCAAAAAAGTTGCTCATACGCCATGTCAAGCGGAAAAAATTCTGTGCAAAACCGCCGTCAAGTAAATAGCAAAGCTAAATGTATATTAACGTTTAAAACTTTAGCTAATTACACAATCAATTATTTACATAAACGCAAAACAGTAAATATAAATCAGGGAAAAGGAAAAGGGCAGCTATATTTGCCCAGACTTATTAAATACGTACGTCGAATTGTGTGGGTTGCATATTTTTGACGGCGAAAATTGCATTAGACTATTGAAGCTTATTTTGCGTTCGTGTGTGTGAGTAATTGTATATTTATGCGCTACTTTATTGAGCGGAAATAGTATTTGCTTAGCTGCATGCACATTAGGGTGAGCCAAAACAAACTAACCTAACGAATTTATGGCCTTAAAAGGACCTATTTACTAAGAAGAAAATTCTCCCATTTGGAAAAATTTTTATTTCAATTTTAAAGGGAGTCGGTGGGCATTTGGAATTTTCTCGTGAAAATAACATGTAAATTTTTTTTTATTAAAAATTTTATAACTTTGAGACCAAAATTTTTTCTACGCATATTCTTGCAGCGCATTAAATTCTCTAAAAATATACATATATGTTCATTAGGGTGCCCCACAAAAAAAGATGTGCGGTTTTTCAACCGGAATTAATAAATTTTATTATAATTCAAAGCTTTCGCCAAAATATTTCGGAAAAATATTAATATTTTATAAAATTTTTAAACATTTGTATGCAGTCTTTTTGAGCTTAAACGCTCCTATTAACTGAGGTGATTTTTTTTAGAAGAAAATTTTAAAAACTAATTTTATAAATTAAAAAACAAAAGTAATTTTTTGAGATCCAGCACACGTACATACATAAAGCTTAATATTTTTCCGAAATATTTTGACGAAAGTCTTAAAACATAATTGCTTTTATAATTCCTATAGAAAAAAACAGAACCGATTTTTTTTTATGTATGGAGAGCGATGTACGTACATATGTGCAAATATATAGTCGTTACGAACAACTCCATAAATGTTATGTGAATGTGTGTGTGAGTCAATGTTTATGTGAATACATGCATGTGACACATTTGTTTCGCTATGTATGCTTTATCGAACTGTTACAGCTGGCAAATGTGGAAATGTTAATTACGCTCGGCCGTGTTTTAGCAAATATTATCGTTAATGAACTTCATAATTCAAGCAGACAAACACAAATACCAAATACATACATAGATAGGCAGTCGCGCATAATTGTCGAAACATAAATCGAAGTTGGAATAACTAAGAGGATAGGAAGGGCGTGCAAACTTCATCACCAGCTATTTCGCGTACTTGCATTAAATTTTGTATATATGTTTGTATGTATATGTATACCCACATACCCACCTCCAAGCAGTGCACCACGTTTACGCATTCTGGCTCGCAAAATGGCAATTTTATTAAACCAATTAAAAATTTAGTATCAAATTAGCGCCAATAGCGATAGGCATGCCACAATTGCAGCGATTACAACAAAAACCACACCAATAACAATATATTCAACAACAATAAGAACAGCAATAAAAACACCACATCTGTGGCACTCTTGCCACTATGGCTGACCATTATTTCAATCAGGCCAATATATTTTAGGCATTAAATAGAATACATATTTCGATGAAAATGGTTACACTTGGTTTGCTGAAATTAACTTCTGGCTCAAAAGTGCGGTAATAATGGTTTTTGTTACGGTAATTGCGCATTACATTAAATGTGACAACATAAGTAAATAAGCCTGCTTCACAGTTTTATTGATTTTTAGGAAATTTATAATATATGCACATTAGAGCGGGTCATTGATTTTTGACTATGCGCGTATAGCAAAGGAGAATTGTAGGTGTAATTCTAAGCAAATTTACCGAACAAATCATGAGTCTAAAATCAATTTGGAGTTTGCGAAAATAGGTGTCGAAGATAAGTGAAAATTTTCTCTGTTGTGCCCTCTGGTGGATGTTTTAAGACAAATATATATGTGCAGAAATGGATTCTCTTTTAGAATGTTTTTATACAAAATTTAAGCACTTCTTTTGGACACTACAGCGAAATGCTAAGAACGTTATTTTCACAATTTGGTAAACTAAAAATTAATTATAGACCCATAGTTTCTTCGGCAAAATTGGTTAGAATTACACGTAGAATCCTTCTGTGCTATACGCGCATAGTCGAAAAAATCTGCCATACAAATTGACCCGCCCTAATCTATATATATAATACGCGAAGGGGTTTTTTTTTTCATGACAAAAGATCTGTACCGTTCACGCGATTTTCAAGAATGAGATGTCAAATAAAAGTGATTGGTCTGTAGATGTGCAAACTGGTTTTAGTTTTTCGAAAAGCGTTGCCACCTGTTGAAAGACTAAATTCAAATTATTTAATAATCAATGCCATCAAATCCGCACCGCTCGTTCGATTTTCCAAAATGAGGCGTCAAGCAAAAAGCCTCGTACTGTAGATGAGCAATAAGGTTTTACTTTTTTGAAAAGAGTTGCCACCTTTTAAAAAATTATATTCAAATTATTAAAAAAATAAAATAAATTATTACAAACTGGGTATCAATCGAAATGGTTTAGAAAAGCTTTGTTTCTTAGCTGAACTATAGGAGGGTTGCCACCTGCATAAAAAATCATATCAGGTAAGACAAATATGTATCACCATATGGGTGCCTAACGAAAGGGGTTAGATAGAAAGTAGTATATAATAAAATTGCGGGAGGGTGGCCACCTGCTTGAAATGTTAAATTTAGTTTACTTATACCTACACAGGTTATACGAAATATAAAAATATGAATGTCAAGCGAAGGAGTGCTAAGAAATCTTTAGTTTGAACCCTAAGAATATGTTTGAGGTGTTGGAAGAAAGTTGCCACCTTTTTGAAAATTTAAATTCAAATTACTTCACAAGTTAAATGAGTTATTAAAATATGGGTATCAATCGAAGGGGGTTTGAAAATTTTTTATTTGTGAACTGTATTTTGCGGGGTTGCCACATGTTTTGAAATTAAAATTCCACTTAATTCATCAGTTAATTATAGTGTGTATCGCAGTGTCCGGCGAAGGAGGGTTAACAATGATTAAACTTAAGAATCCCTCTGAAGAGGGCTGCCACCTGTTTGAAAGGTCTAACTCAATTAACTAATTCAAAAAGTATATTAAATATAAAAGTATCGTAGTCAAACGAAAGAATGTTAAGAAATCTTTAGTTTGAACATTTTGTATGTTTGAAAAGAGTTGCCACGTGTTTAAAAAGTTACATTCAAATTATTCAGTAATTTGGATGACTTTTACTTTACTTCGAACGACGATTGTATTTTTATTATTGTTTTTCATCGCAGAAATACACCCGGAGGTTTTCCATTGCTTGCCGAGGGGCGACCGCTATTAGAAAAACCCAGAGACATAACTATTATAAGAGAAAAGAATAAAAGTCAGACAATAATCATTATATTAAGATAAATATTTTTCGAGTCATCTATAATTATTATTCAAGGACTTATATTATACAAGTATTTTCATAATAATTATGAGCGCGAAAAAATTGTTCAAGTCTTAAAAGTTGGGGATTAGTTCGGGACTAGGTGGGAAGTAGTTTGGGCCGTGTTGGGTCTTGGTTTGGGATCCGTTCGGGACTATATACAAAATTTTTTCGCACTCGTAATTATTATCAAAAGACTTTTATAATATAAGTTTCAAAATAAAAATCATTGAAGACTTAAAAATATTAATCTCAATGATAATTATTATGAAAAGACTTCTATTATATAAGTCTTAAAATACTAGTTATCGACGAATTAAAAAAATTTTCTCACACATAATTATTATCAAAAGACTTTTATACAGGGACATAACAGCTATAAGTTTTATCGGAAAAATGTTGTTTCATAAC